ATAAACTTTGACCTTTCTGACACATGTCATGAGTAAGATCTATCCTAATAAATTGCTACCTGTGAGCAATTATAAAAATTTCCCTGTATCCAATCATGCAATTTAATTGCCGCTGGAAATTCTGGCTTCCTTAGAGATAGCCTGGAGAATTATTTGATGCCTGTGGGGGTCGTTTTATATTTGTTTCAGGGAGGTATATTTGTTCATTTGGATTTCCAGACGCTGAAATGCTCATGGACAGAGAGATCCTAGCTGCTTCAGCCAAAGACGGCTTAGGCTGTAAACAGAACTTGTCACAGGGATGAAGTGGAAACAGTGGATGGGCTTCTGTGCCCCGACGGCCTATCACTGCGCCTGGATCCTCTGGTTTCCTTCATTGTCCATTTAATGTAGATTGAAGTAGGTACTGGATCTCCTCATGTTGCCGCAGCTACACCTCCCAGCAGCCTTATATGGTAATTCCATTTTGCAGATAAGAAAACCAAGACCCAGTGCATTGAGAAACACGCTGTGGGTCACAGACCATGGTGGAGAAAGCAGTGGGGCGGGACGCCACTTCCGCTCTGCCTGATTTCGGAGCCCAGGTTTTTTGGATGAGCAGCTTCTTCTCTGGGCTCAAATCCTGATTGTAGGCTCAAACGCTAACACTCTGGAAAGATCTCGGGGGTCCTACCAGTCATCTACACCGGAGGGAGAACTCCTTTATCAGTTCCCTGTCAGAAAAGCACGTCTGCGTGAATAAAACAGGTGGAGAGATGAGGATACAGCGCCTGGGGCACACAGCAGAAAGGCTGGAAGCCGGCATGGGACAAGCCTCCCCAGCACCCTGTGGACGGCCAGGGAAGCTGCTCTGGGGTGCGCTCCAGCTGCTTTCGGGGGATTTAAGCAGACCTGTGACCCTAACAGTGGCTCCACCAGGAGCACGCTGTCGAGATGGAAAAAGATGCTTTGAGGTTCCGCCACAATCAGATCCTTTTCTACCAGAACAAGCGGAAACAGGACAGAGAACAGAGACAGAGGGAAGGAGGGAGATTTTAATCAACCTGGGACTTCTCCAGAGGAGTGCATTCACAGGCCCCGAGGTGGGGGTCTCCCACTGCTGTGACCAGTCCATCAGCGGGGAAACCTTTCCCGAGCACGCACTAGGTGCCATTCAGACGAGCCTGTGGGGGCACACAGCCTCCCCACTAGCAACATCCGCTCAGCACGGCTGCTGTAGAGCTTGTCCTAAACCATGCCGAGGAATGTCTCTGGTGCCTGAAATAAGAACATGAGCATTATACACACACGTATCACACACACACATTAGTGTCCATGTACACATACACACGTTATCTCTGCGTATACATGTATGATACAAACACACGCCCGAGGCCAGGCCAAGGGAAGTGGCCCACCTGAGTCGGAGGGCTTTAAGACGGTTAACACAGAGTAGGAGTCAGAGCTGTATGAGGGTGACAATCGGAGTTGACATCCGCTGCTCCACAGGTCGTGTTTGCTATGAAGACCACAAACACCGGCTTTTCTGCCTTTTTATCTCGTTTCTAAGGGAAATACCAGTGGTGGCATTTGTGTTCCAAGGAGCTGGCTATGGCGACACTTTCCCACGTAGGGAAGCTACTGGTTACCGGCTCGGTAAACCTCCTCGGGCTCTCCTCGGGTACCTGCCGGCTCGGCGCCGGGAGCCTGGCCTTCCTGGCCACTCCTGCCCCCGCTCCACTGCTCACAAAGGAACCCTGAATGCCCAGCTGCCACTTCCTCGGCCCTCCTCTCCCCCTGGTGCGCCACAGCCCATGGTGCACCTCTCATGACTGTGGCACGCTCTGCCTGGGTTACGGTTATTTGTTCCAATGGCTGCCTCGCCACCTCTAGGGCAGCAAAGGTTTCTTAGGAATCTTTGAGGGCCCTGCAGAACCTGGCACTGCGCCAACAACACAACTGTTGCTGAGCCCGGGCCTGAAGTTCCTGCATCCGATGGACAGATGCAAGCTGCTGCCTGCAGAGCAGGCATGATTTTGCTGCCCCCAGTCCTACTAACCCTGTCTGCCTCCTGGGAGCGGCTGAGGCTGAGAAAATAGTAAGAACTAACATTTACTGAAGGCTTAGCACACAGCAGGCACTAGTGCCAGAAGCTTTTATATGCGTGATCTCATTTGGGCCTCCTGGCCCCCTCCGAGGAAGGAAACACAGGGAACCCTAAAGGAAGATACGAAAACATTCAAAGGCTGTCCCCCATCCCACAGCCAGGAGAGAAGCAGGGTTGTGTGTTCTCAACGTGCACTCAGCCGCTGTGTACAATGACTAATAAAATCAAATCACACCAGACATTCACAATACACTCTTCACGTCAGTCGCCCATGGATGGCTGGCAGCCTGTCTACGTCCCTAGCGGTGAGTAGACCCCTCCCACAACAATTGGCTGGCGGGGCTGGTGGTGGTAGAAAGCGTTTTCTCGTGTGGCTGAGATCTGCCTCCTGACACTGAGTAGGTCCCGTCCCTCCTTCATGCCGCAGTTCAAATACAGGCATCAGGACCCTGCGACAGCCTCCTCGCTGTAGCCCAAGCACAGCGGCTTCATTTAAGTAACAAACTCACCCGTACATTTAAATACAAGTCGAGTAACTCAAACTCAAGAGGACACATGGAACTTCAGGATTATGTTATATACGGTGCTGCTGATTAAAATCGTCGGGCCACCCTTAATGAGGTGATTGGATTCTACCCTATGCCTACCTGAAATTGACATTTAAATAAAAGTGAGCAAAATTCTTGGGTCAGGTTATTGGCTATACCCTATTAAACACATTCATTTTGCCAGATCAATATGAGCCTGGTACAATATATCACATAAAAAGCATCTCACCGTAGCCATGGTTACAGCCAACACTTTAAGATCTGGTCTCTCTGAAACTCACCCCCTAAACCAGCCACCACTATGAAACTGGGTTTTCTTTACAGTCAGTGCTATTCTAGTTTTGAGCTAAAGTCGTAGGTACTTTCTTTGGATTGTCTTTTTTTTTCATCTTTCACTCCAACATGTACGTAATAACCAAAAAAATTTTTAAACATAAAAAAATATAGGGATGACTTACAGAAATTTCCCTCATTTTTAAATGGTTTAATTTAGCATAACCATGTGTATTGGGAACCTGAGAATATTTTTAATGTCTCACCCCATCTCTCAAAAAAAAAAAATTAAATATATTTTCTAGTGAGTCTGTTCTAGAAACTACGGGGGGGAAATCGCCCATCAATTGCCAGTCTGTGTGGAGAAATGGAGTGGTTTTTCTAGGCTGGTGAAATCTAATTGCTAACTGTTTACACAAATAACACACAGAGCTAACGAAACAGAAGCAGAAGCTGGCATGTTTCCAATGACCAGTCTGAACAGCCTCGTATGCAAAAGCATTAAGAAGAGAAAGTAAACTTTAAAATGATTTGAGAGAAAGGTCTATTTTCATGACAGATGGCAATGAGGGTTCTTCAATGCCAATTTCATCATTTCTCCTCCATTTTCAAATGCTGAAGTTGTGGCTCCAAGTGGTGTAGCAGCACCCGACATGCAGAGACGAATCAGGGCTGAGGGGGGGCTAATGCGTGCTGTGGTCTCGCCACCCTCACAGTCATTCTAGGGCCATTCTACCCAACTGAGGAAATAGCATTGTTCAATGGGTCCCCTGTCTTCCAACATCAAAAAGTCCTGTTCTTATGAGCGCCATTTTTATGTCACAAACATGGAGACTGTCCTCAATTAGGAGCCTAACATATAGTCAGTCACTTTCTGATCCAATGACCTTAACAAACAGATCCTGTTGATGGGAAATTCATGGACAGAATAGCCTCCAGATTTTTAAGGGACATTTGATAATTTAGTACCCTTCTTTCATCTTACAAGTAAATGAGGAAACTGAGGCCCGAGTTGGGCATCCCAATGGCCGTGGGCGGTGCTGTGAGGACTCGGGCCAGAATCCCAGCGCCAGTCCAGTGCTCTTCCAGCTCCATCAAACTCAGATCTCCTCCAGGGAACATTCCGAAAACCATCCCATCTCATGACGCTATTTTATCTCTGAACTGTGTATGTCTTTTTCTCAAAGGACGAATTCGATATTACATTTGACAACTTTTAATCCAATGAGAAAATACATCTACAGACAAGTTAGTCATGAAAGTTCTAGTCTCTGGGGCTTCTACAACCAGAGTAGAAAACTCCTTGAGTACACAGTGCTCTTGCCTTTTGGGAATTAATAAGGACGTTTCTGAGGCTATTTCCTATTTTTGGGGAGGCACCTCGGGTACCAGGCAGACAGGAGAAATGGCAGTCCCCGAAGTCCACTTATCAGTGAGTTCAGATTACGGATGTACACATCAGCAACGCAGGAAGCTACAGGCGCCGATGCACAGGGATGCGCCCCGCCATAAGGATAAAACCTGCCGCTCCTGTTCGATGCAGCAGGTAAACCTGACCAGCCGAGCCCCAGAAGACACGTGTTCTCAGAATAGCTGTGTCTTCTCCAAGGAGAAACACCGAGACCACCCTTGGACGACCTGTGTGTGGCAGTGTCCACCCCAAAGGCTGGGCAAATCACTCACATAGCACTTTCAGAGTGAACGATGTGCTTAGTAGAACATCAGAGTCGCTGTAAACATTTACGGCAAAAGGAGGCCGGTAATCCGTGGCCTGAACACAGGTGGCTTGCTGGGGATGGACACCCTCAGCCTCCATCAAGAACACCATCCCAAGCCTTTACTTCCCCCCAAACTTAAGTGCTCCTCTTTTCGTGCTCCTGCTGCCACCAGGTCCCTGCCAGGTCCCCTCCGGAACACCCACTGTAGGGCTGGTGAGGGGTGACCGCATTCATCTCTGAAACCCCAGTCAGGGCCAGCACAGCACACAGCACAGGTCAGGTACAAAACCTGCCTGCTGAATTCGTAGAAAGTTTGCATAAAAGCTCCACTCCAAGGTCCTGTCCCACTCCAAAGAAAAGGAACAGACAAAAACATTAACCATGTTTTCATTTTAATAAGGCCTTTTACTCAAAAGTGTAGCTCTGAAAATCTCTAGCTTGTTATGAAAACCGGAAGAGCCGGGAGCCACCTCGCTTTGAACCTGGCCGGAGGGCTGTGGCCACTGGGTCTGCAAACTCTCCGTCTCTGAAGCTGGAAATCAAATGCATCACTTTAAAATCAGAGCCAACAGTTAAAATTAGGAAGATGATGCATGTCCTACTTTGATTCAAGAAGAAAGGGCAAGTTTTAATACAGTAAAACAAAACACAAAAAGTAAACAAATCTTTAGAAATCACTAGATGTGTGTGTGTGTGTGTGTGTGTGTGTATTTATATAATTAGGATTATCAACATTTAAAACTATTAAAAACGAGGTTGCCACCTTACCTTTTCTTTTGGTACTGGGGTGTTATAGTTTTAGGAAAAAAAAATTTTTTGCCCAGACTCTCAAGTTTCCAAACCTCAAGCCTGTTCTCTGCTGTGCAACTGCCCCACCAGCACACGGACCCAGAGCTCCGCCATCCAGTCCTGCTGGCAGGCGGCAGAGCCGGCTTTCATTCTGGTTGTCAAGCTGACAGGCCCACAAAAGCACAGCTGACGGAGGAGCCGGATTCGTCCCCAGGAAGAAAACACATTTGCCCACAATGGGTCTGCAAAATCTTCCAAGCCACCTCTGTCCCCCTTGCTGCCACGGTTTGTTAACTTCTTTGTTTTGCCTAAAAGCAAGATGGCAATCTTAATCAAAAAGGGAAGCTAGACCTTTTTTAAATAACTTAAAAAAATTATTTTTATATAAAGCAGCAAAAACATATTTTCCTCTCTGCAGAAAAAACAAAAACCAAAAACGTGAACAGGAAACACAGCAATGTGAGTGGACTGTCCGCGGACGTCTGCGAAGCTGACTCCCCCGCAGACTGGGCATCCTCGGAGCTACTCTTTAACTTCCTCAGTGCTGTCTGAAGAAGGTTCTTTGGCGTCTTCAGTCGCTCTTTTACTTTGCTCTTGATTTAAATCTTCCTTTTCTAACCTGGTCCCGTTGGGGATAGAGTTCTCGCCATTGACGAGCCCGTTTTCCGCAGCCTTGGCCCGGCTGACGGCCTCCGAGAGGGTTAAGGCCTCCTGCACGCCGGCCTCCTCCTCCAGGTTCCTCAGGACCAGCGGCAGCCTTGAGTCCACCACGCCGCCCTCCAGTAGCCCCGGGTTGCTCTCCTCGTACTTGGGGAGCGGAGCCCCCTCCTCCATTTGCTTGCGGTAGTAGTCCCGGTTCGCAGCTGCACTCTTCACCGCTTTTTCCAGAATCTCTTTTTCGCCTAAGCGCAACTTGATGGCCATTGTTGCACGAACAGAAAGGTCATGGTTTTTCAAGAAGGACTTGTCTTCCTGGAAAATGAAAAAGAGCAAAATGAATTATAAGAAGCCTAAATCAGTAAAACTACAGCAACAGAAGGCAGATCAGTTGTTGCTGGGGATGGGGCCATGAGGGAAACTTAGGGGGTGACAGAAGGTTCTAGAACTTGAGGTGGTTGCAAGTCTATAATACGTACATCAAAGTGTACATTTTAGAAGTGTGAGTTTTACTGTATATAAATTATACCTCAATAAAACTATCATAAAGCAAAAAAGAAGAGCCTAAATCAAATGGTGCTCTAACACACTGACAAAGAACTTCACTTACTCTTAAAATCATTCTCTGTCTGTCCTGTGCACTGACAGAGCCCCAGGGCTCAGCCCTTGGCTGAATGAGTGGATGAGTGGATGGATGAATGGATGAATGAGTGAATGAATGAATGAATGAATGAATGAATGAACGAACGAACGAACGAGAAGTATTTCAAATTAGTGACTCAATGGCAAACTTTGAAAGCATAAAAGAAAACTTGTTTGTTGTATGATATGAATTAGAAATTATAGACAAGTATTACATAATTTTAAAATTTTATCTTCTAATCAACAATGCCTGAATATGACTCTCTTAATAAGTATAAATGTGTTAAATAGAGAAATGCTAAGTTGAATGAAAAATGTCAAGTACACGATTTTGCTGAAGAATTACAGTCATTTACATTTGTGAAGGAATCTCTTATTAAGCATCTTTTAAAAGATGACAAAGCTCAAATCCTAATTCAATCAATCTAATTACCTCAGTATTTGTTTTGTATGTTTTTAAAAGAAGGGAGGCTCGGTCTTCAAGAAACGTCCAAAGTTTGACTTCATTGTCCCAGCTCACAGGATATTCCGAGTTGCCCAAGGTGAAGATTCTATCGATAGCATTATCTCCTAGCAAATGTTCTTTCAATTCTTCTGCAAGAAACACAAACAGCCATCTGTTAGGGGAGAAAAAGCACTACTCATTTTAACAAGCAATCCACCTTACAAAGATCTTCTCCACCAATGTCACTTTTTTGTGGCTAAAAGCTCTCCCTGCTCTGTCAGCCAGGCCATTTCCCGACTCTCCAGAGTCGAGTCAGAGCTGCGTTTCCGGCAGGAAAACTAGGTCCGTCTTCCTGAGCCGAATTCCAGATGAAGCCTCGGCACAGCAATCCATTTCTCATGAGTTTATGAGGGACACTGAGAGCCTTTGGACAGTTTCACGAGGTACTTTGGAAAGACATGAGATACTTTTGAAAGACAATCTATAGTGACATTTTGACAACACCTTTCCTACAAGCCATGAGCTCGTCAGACCAACTGGGTCAAGAAGACATTTAGGTGAACAGCATAAAGGGTAAAAAACGAACAACAGCACAAGAGTGATCCTTCTAAATTTAGGTCTGATTGGTGCTTATTCCTAGTTGACCTGACAAAGTTATTTGTCTCATAACAAGTAAGCCCACAAACAGAGAGAAACAAGAAAATGGACTATGAAAAGCTCGGTTAATGAAAAACGTGCCTATGTCCCTCACTTGTCAGGAATTTAAACAGGAATCACACACAAATAAACCCCAAGTAACATCTCAATTACCTTCAAATATATTTAAGAAGAAGGAAAGAACTCAGCAACTGCTCTGAGAATTTTCTCTCCTGGCACATTATCTTCAAAAGACCAAAACATGCCGATCCTATTCATCCTCAAGAAACACACCCAGCTCCTTATGTAATTATGAGACAGTATCTCTTTCAGAGCAAAATGCCCCACAGCTGTCACTATTTACAATTCAAACTGAAGAACTTCTGTTGCCAGCAAACCAAACTCTTATCAGTCTTAGGATTCGAAGAATACACCAATTGTCTTGACATGACAAACTGTCTATGACTAAAGAGAAACGAAAGAATCACCGATGGCCCTAAAGTGATTTTTTTCTTTAAAAAAAATACAGAAGTTACTCTAATGTTCAAAAAAGAAATTTATTGAGTTGTCTTTGTTAGTAAAAGATCATGATAAAATTCAGGATTTAGATTTTTGATCCTTCAGTTTCTATTCTTTGTAGAGGGTAATGAAGATTTTAAGAAACGCTCCCTTAGTGGCAGAAATCTCTTCTTAGAAGCCCCAAATGCGGGAGGTTATTGCTTTTGTTTTCTTCCTCAACCTGCCCAAGGTTCCCCCCTCCCGTGCTGGAAGCTGAAGGGCAGAAGCAGGCCCTTCTCTCGCTGCCACTTTTTAACACTGAAACTGGGCAACACTCGGGGAAGTGGGCCCACAGCTCCCGGAGTGGGTTTCCTTCCCATGTTCCTCCAGCTGGCAAACCCTGGACAGAGTGCCTGCACTGGGGTCAGCCCTGTCCTCACAGGGGCTCGTCCCTTCAGCCGGCCACCACGGGAACGTGCGTTTGGTCACCCAGAGAGTGGACAGTACCCTCGCTCCTCAGCCTGGCTCCATGTCAAACGCTGGTTCCTCCCGCCCCTAGAGTACTAGGATCTCTTCCGTGGATTACATGATTTGCAAACCAGCAGAAGCTACATGGGACGTCTGGGCGCGGGCTCCAAGTCAGGGTCACCACCTGCTGGCTGAGTGGTCAAGTTCCTCATCCTCTCTGAACTGGGGGTTCTACACCAGTCAAATGGTCAAATGGGAACCCCTCTCTCTCACCGGGCTGATGAGGACCGTGCCAGGCACACAGTGGGTGTTAACACATTATAGGGGTTATCATTACCATTATTCCTTCTTTATAAATTCCTTCAGCAGGGGAACTGTGACATTCAATTCTGTATCCCTGTAGTACATGCAAGAAAAGTGATTCCTGTTCGTTAAATGCAATTGATGAACCACAGGACCAGGTCACCAAAAGCTCTCACTTGAGTGACAGTGAGGCTGCAGCAATATGGTGCTTCTGAGGGACAAGTGCCATCTCGCACTCGGCGGGTTCTGCAGCTGGTGTCTAAACTGCTTCCCTGTATTTGGGACTAGGTTTCTCCTTCCTCCTGATGAAGGCCTTGGACCTGGGCAGCACTCGTCCTGGATCCAGACATGAAGTTCGGGAGCCCAGCCGACTCCCCTCCACAGGCCGTGGTTTACTGCTGCGGCCCGACTACTACCCTTCCCCGGGTCAGAAGGACGCTGACTCATCTGGTCTGTTCAGTAAGGTGGTCTCTCTCTCTCTCTCCTCTCTCTCCCTCTCTCTCTGTCTCTCTCTCTCTGTCTCTCTCTCTCCTCTCTCTCTCTCTCTC